AGAGAGAGAGAGAGAGAGAGAGAGAGAGAGAGAGAGAGAGAGAGAGAGAGAGAGAGAGAGAGAGAGAGAGAGAGAGAGAGAAAAAACCGTTCGATACGTCAATTTGTCAGCACAAAAAAAACTTCAAAGATCATTTGACGAGCAATAAACTACAGGCGAAATTAAATCGTGTGACGCAACCTCGAAATTAGTGTAAAAGTTCAAAGGAAGAAACTTTTGACATTTGCGATGGGAAAGTTTGGCTAAAATCATAAAAAGAATCCCTGTTTCCATGTGTTACACCGCGTAATCTCACATTCCAAGAACAATAAAGTTGTCAGCGAACAATTAATTTTTTATCGCTTTTTAAGTAGCCAAAAACGAAAGTTTGAACCCCGATAAAAGAGAGGAAGCAAGAACGCGACCAAATGAGAGAAAAAAAAAAAAAAACAAACTACGCATATTATACCAAAGATTCCAAAGTATATCTATTAATGACCAATTATTATTGTTTAATAAAATTGTTTGAGGCTGGTGATGGTTGGCGCGCCAACAGAAAGAATTGAAATAAAAAGTGAAACACGCTGAAAAAGGCACGTTCTGATGTCTCGCGAACACTCATTCCATACATCTTCATTAAATGCAAGCCATATGATGAAGAAGTGTACTCATATTAATTTATAATTTCGTTATCAATGCGAACATCTACCACTTGCATTGCATTTGTGCTCTGTGACACATATGCAATCGTTGGCAGTTGTGTCGTCGCGGTTTGCCCGACGCGTTTTGATTGTACGTATGTAAGGCGATCATTATTCCTCTTTTTTTCGTTGATGCGCGCGCATCGTCGTCGTATTGCAGCCGACTTCATATCAGATTTTAAAATGCGCTTAAGTGGATTTGTGCCGTACGTGCAACGCAATTTAATTAAAAAATCATTCATTTATTTGTTAATGTTTCCATAAAAATAATTCCTAAACAAACGCTCTTTTTTTCCCCTCTTTCTCTCGTTTAATTACGATATCAACCGGTGCACACAAGAACACCGATAGTCGCGATACGGCAATCATTGACAGGCAACAAAACAGCAACACTCACACACAACACGCCAAACGTCTATTTCGAAAGGGAGCAAAAGGAATGGCAAATAAGACATCTGAACGCATAAAAACCGAAACGAGTTCATTTAATTACAATCTAATTAACGAATACGTGTGCGCACTATCGGCTGCACACATAGGGACACACAAAATATAGACACACACACACGCTCACATTCGGGCAACAAATCACTGAAATCAATCGGCCAATCGCCATAGTGAAAACCGACACCGTTCACGATTCCCGTTTCTCCAACCGTCAACATAATTGCTGTACTGTGCTGTGCTGTGTGTGCGTTGTACGCGCAAGATATGTCTGCATTTCCAAGCAATCACAACTAATTTATTGGAAAATTGGCTTGTTCTTTGCTTCCATTTGCGATGGGACTCGATTCGAATCCAGAATCGAAAACTGAACCATATCATTTACACTGCCAGCCAACGTTCAATCGGTAACCGATGCAACTCCTTCTCTCTTTCTCTCTCTTTCGACATTTTGCTACAAATAAATTGAGCGGAGACAACATAGAAACGCACGTCAAATAATTGCAATAAAATTTGAGAAGAAAAAAAATATTGATAATAATAGTGGCTAGTCGTCGTCGTCGTCATCGACATCATAATAATGGGTTTCAAACTGTCGTCTTTTATTCGCTTTTTTAGCACTATATGAAATGTAGAGCTACCAATCTGCTTTTTTTTCTTGAAATTACATTAATTTTTCGTATAATATTTTCTGTGTCTTGGACAGAATTGATGTGATTTTAGATTCTATGCTCATATTATTTATTTAAGTTAAACCAAAGGCAGTATATTTCAAAAAAGAAATTAAACCAAGATCTTGTAAATCATTTTGCAAATAAATATATTACTTCAAAGTTACTTTGATGAAATACATTTCATGTAGTGCGCCAAAAAATAGTTTGTTGTGAAACAACAAAATAGATTAAGTAACTAAAAACTCAAGAACGCAGAGCGGAGCGAAGCAAAGTTTCTCTCTAGCCTTGCTTTTTTGACAGATCAACATGTTTATTTGGAATCTACACTGGTTTCAAGGCAGAAAAGTGAAGAACTTGTTATCCGGAAAGAGAAAAATGAGCAAAATAATGGCTCGACTAAATCTATCGGACCTGTTTTTTGTAAGTTCCAAGAGCCGTGTGTAGAAATTTGATAATATTTGGTTGTTTTGGGAACATGTGACGAAAAAACAGTGGATCCTGTTACAATACAATGTCATTATTTTATTAGCCGGGCGAAGAAAGATTGATTTTTGATAGTCGTAATAAATTGCTCATGACACCGAGTACATTTTCTTACGTCTTGACTGCAATCAACTGTAAGCAAGCCATGGGAATGCTTGACCGGAACGAAAAATTGCCATCAAAACGCATCCATAACAAAAAGAAACCAACGACTCTGTCGATGATAATAAAAGCCAACGAAATGCAGTTAAATGCTTTTTAGATACCAACCGGCCATGGAATAGAGAGAGTGAGATAGAGAGATAGAGAGCGACTGAGTAGAGAGAGAAGGTTTATGATAAAGTTACGACTATTTTTCTTGCTGTCAGACGGTGGCGACGTTCGACTCTGTTAAATTGTTGGACTCGATCCCGACTCTTAATATGGTGCCATCAATTCAAATTATTTATTGTGTTGCTCATTTTGCCGGCCTGTAATCATTCTTTTCCACCTTTTCACCATGCGCTCAAATCGCAAATCATTGAATAAATACCTATAAATAAAGCTGTTGTAATAATAGTAATAATGACCATTTAAATTTATGTGAATGTGCGTAGAGTAAACGAAAAGATTCTTTCTCTCTCTCTCTCTCTCTCTCTCTCTCTCTCTCTCTCTCTCTCTCTTGATGTGTGTGTGTGTGTATGTCTCCGCCACGGTATTTTCGACCAAGTTGACCATGTTTTGG